CTCTGCCACTAGGGTTCAAATGATTCTCCTTCTTCAGCCTCCCGAGTAGCTGGGATTACAGGCACCTGCCAACGCCTGGCTAATTTTTGTAGTTTTAGTAGAGATGGGGTTTTACCATGTTGGCCAGGCTGCACTTGAACTCCTGACCTCATGATCCACCTGCCTCAGTCTCCCAAAGTGTTGGGATTACAGGCGTGAGCCACTGCACCGGCCTTGACACGTATTCATTTTCTACAGCCAAAATGGAAAAAACATTTTCCTTGGTAGCATTCTAAAAGCTAAGCTTTGGCATTCTGTTGGAAATCACCCAGCCATAAATAACACACCTGAGAAGCCTCCTAAATTCACTCTAAGAATAAAATATATAAATGAGAATTTTTAACAAATAAAAGGTATTATTTTTTCCTGAAACCCACCTTTTATGCCCTTTGTATTATACATTTTCTTACCGTTCAAGTCCTACTAATAAAATGCAATTCACAATTTAAAAATGGAAGTCAAAATAAGTGAAAGCAAATCTTTTCAAGGTGACAAACCAAGGGAATGGCAGTACTAATGAGGAAACATGTGTCTGACTCATGTGTCAAGTCAGGCCATCCAATCACTTCAGAGGTTCATCCACCCAATCCTGCTCCCTTAAATGCTCAATAACCACCCACTCAGGAGACACTGAATTATGCCCCAGTGACTGCCCTATGTCCATTTTACTCTGCAAGTTCTTGCACCACCTCACTTGGGGTTGTTTGTTTGTTTAAACTTAAGAGAATCCAAGGGGCAAAATTATTTCTGTTTCCTTCCCCCTCGATTCCAGCATGATTGGCTGATCAGTGGATGTGTCTCCAAGAAAGGGAAGCTGGGTTGGGTGAAGACACTCTTAATGTCTGAAGGGGTTAGCTTTTCAAAGGAAGAAGAGCACACCAGGACATTCCTCTCAGTCCCAGGTATTCACCTGCTCCCTTGAGACCTCAGGTTGTCCTCAGGGAGAAAATAACCCAGGAGCTGATATTCACTAGACACACTAGCAGACAAAGCCATGGTGGGCATCTTGGTTTATCTCTAGACAGTACTGAAACCCAGGACCAGGAAAAAACTGAAGGTTGGCTGAGGACACATCACCCCACAAAGTTTCCAAAGGAAAACCCTGACCCAAAAACATCTGATAAGATCTCTGTGCCTAGGGAAGATTTAAAAAAGAAGAGGCACAGAGAGCAGAGAGTTTTATAATACAGTGTCAGGGGATTATTCTTTGCTTTCTTCTCATGGGAAATATTTCAAAACAAAACAAATTTTTTAAAAGTGCCATCCAATGCTTTGTCAAAAAATGAATTAAAATACAGTAACAGAAATGTTCTGTAAAGGAAAAATAACTGACAATGTTAATCAGGAAACGGAAGTTGGGGTTGGATTGTCAGAAGAAACTGGAAATTTAGTACTTTACTACAAGCCAGAGTTAGGCTGGAGGAATTGGGGTAGACTTGAGACCCTTGTGACACATGGGCTTGAGACACAGGTGAAAATGCAGGAGAAACACAGTTCCCTGTGGAGTGTGAGAGTAATTAAGTGGCAGGCAATTAGACTGAGGAGGCTCTAGTCCCAGGGTTCCTACTTTCTAAAAAACCTTACAGCTGGGCGTAATGGCTCACGCCTATAATCCCAGCACTTCAGGAGGCAAGGCGCGTGGATCACCTGAGGTCAGGAGTTCAACACCAGCTTGGCCAACATGGTAAAACTCTGTCTCTACAAAAATACAAAAATTAGTAGGGCATGGTGGTGTACGCCTGTAATCCCAACTACTCCAGAGGGTGAGGTGGAAGAATCACTGGAACCCGGGAGGCAGAGGTTGCAATGAGCTGAGATTGTACCACTGCACTCCAGCCTGGACGACACAGAGAGACTCCATCTCAAAAAATATATACATACAAATGTAAAAATAAGAAAAAAAATCTTACTCAAATGCATTTTTTGTAAATTACTACACTGAAGAAAACAAAATTCAGGCTTAATCAACTATAAACTGCCAATTAACCTCTAATTACATAACCAGGAAATTTCCACCTTGATTGTACAAACTAAGAAAGTATGTAGCCAGGCGCTGTGGCTCACACCTATAATCCCAGCACTTCAGGAGGCCAAGGCAGGTGGATCACCTAAGGTCGGGAGTTCAAGACCAGCCTGACCAACATGAAGAAACTTTGTCTCTACTAAAAATACAAAATTAGCCAGGCAAATCCCAGCTACTCTGGAGGATTTGGCAGGAGAATCGCTTGAACCCAGCGGGTGGAAGTTGCAATGACCTGAGATCGCGTCATTGCACTCCAGCCTGGGCAACAAGAGTGAAACTCCGTCTGGGGGAAAAAAA